GCAGAAATTGGCCCTTGGAACAAACTGAAAAAATCATTATGGCCCGAAGGCTTCAAAGTTTGGAGACCCCTGATCTAGTCCATACTAAAAACCAGTTAAAAATATATTGAAACCAAGTTACGATAAAAAACTTACTGTAGAATAATTATAATTCCCATCTTTCATACTAGTTACTGGATAACCTTTGATTTCTTCAAGATAGTTTAATTCTAAATATTTCAAAGATATGAGTATTAAAATAACCTTTGACGGGTATTACTATCGCATGTTTTGATATTAGGCTATTTTCAATTTAAGTACGACCTATAAAAATAATGAGCAATATGGCGTAATGCTTATCAGTTTATTGTTGCTTCTGATTGAAATAATATTTGCAATGAAATACTTTATATTTCAGAGAAAAATAGTCATTGCAAGAATTGATTTCGTTAATTGTTGAGTAATCTGGTGCAGGTATCTAGTAATTACACCTATGCAAAAGTAAAGGTTAACCTTTGAACATATTTTACTCAACTTGCTCATTGAAAATCACAAATAAAGTTAGGTTAAATAATTTTCCAATATTTTTTTACGGTTCAAATCAATTGTTATCAAAATTATCACAAGTATAGCCGAATGATAATGAATATTTAGTTATATGCATTGAAACATACTCTCTGTATTTCAATATTCAAATTCATCCGAATCTTATTCACTGGTNCCACTTTGAGGAACTTTTTTTATTTCTTAATTTTTCGTAGTTTTTGAAATATTTGCAGAAACCGAAATACCTTTTGTTACATTTTAATCTGTTTATAGCTTATGAATTATTTTATGTGCTAAAAAACAGTTTTTGCACCCATTCACCCATTTTACAGTCGCCATAATCGTCCTACCGAGGTGGCTATTGGCAATGTGGTGGATAAATTTGAGTCCACTGGTACAGTAAGCGATCGACCAACACCTGTACGTTTACGAAACGCAAGATCTGCCGAAAAAATCACCGCTGTCTGTGAGAGTATGCAGTAGAATCAAAGGCTGTCGATTTTGCGTCGCTCACAAGAACTTGGCGTTTCGCAGACCACAACTTGGCGAATTTTGCGTCGTGACTTGGTGTTGCACCTGTACAAAATTCAACTGACCTAGGAACTGAAGGTAAACGACCATAGAAAAATCAACTTCAGCGATGAGGCCCATTTCTGGGGCGCCTTTGACTTGTTTGTAAAATTTGCCTTACAAATAAAAAAAGGTGCTTGACATGCAGTGGCCGTTTTAAAAAATATTTGAGAGCAAGACAATGCCAACTTGTGACTCAGCAATGCTGATTCTATGCGTGGATGGTGACAGGACTGGATATGACTTAATATGATTTCAAATTCGATAAAAAAAGAAAACAAAATATTCCCCTAAGGGAATATTTTTAAATATAACATATGATATGGTATTTCTTGCATTATGTTATGTAAGAAGTTGTGATTTTTCATCTTCAATTCTCTCTTCCATTCAATGTCAAGATCTGCAAATAGTCAATTTCCTCATTCGAATTCCAAGTGGTATCGCAAGTGGGACGAGAAAGAAACATTCGTTCCTGCTCAAGTCAATTACTCAATTGATCTGATGAATGTCATCATAATTATTTGTATAATCTGCGCACATCTGGATATCCTTGGTTAGTTTACAAATACTCGTAATAATAAAATTCAGCTAAGTGAAAAATATGTATTATAATAGTGTTAAAATGAGTGATTTTTTGCTGGTATTTTTTTGACAACACTGTTTTTGACAGATCACGCGTGAATCGTGTAGTTTGTCATTGTCAAACTTGTTCAGTTTGATCTATAATGAATCGACTTACCAATGAACAACGCTTGCAAATTATTGAATTTTACTATCAAAATTCATGCTCGGTGAAGAAAGTGCATCGTGCACTTCTTACAATTTATGGGCAGTTTCGTCGGCCTACTGAGGAAACTATTCGGAAGCTTGTGACTAAATTTCGAACCTAGTTTACATTATTGGACATTAAACCACCAACACGCATACGTAGAGTGAGGACCGAAGAAAATTTTGCGGCTGTATCCGCCAGTGTTCGTGATGACCGTGAAATGTCGATTCGCCGCCGTTCGTAGCAATTGGGCCTCTGTTACTTCACTACGTGGAAAATTTTGCGAAAGGATTTGGGTGTTAAACCTTAGAAGATACAGCTGGTGCAAGAATTGAAGCCAGACGACCTTCCACAACGTCTAATATTTGATGAATTGGGCGCTGGCAAAGTTGGAGGAAGATCCACATTTTTATCGAAAAGTTGTGTCCAGCGACGAGGCTCATTTCTGGTTGAATGGATACGTTAACAAGCAAAATTGCCGTATCTGGAGTGAAGTCCAGCCACAAGCATTGCAAGAGCTACCGATGCATCCCGAAAAAGTCACTGTTTGGTGTGGATTATGGGTCGGTGGCATCATCGGGCTACAATTTTACCAAATGTACATAGCCCTTCTTCCAACAGCAGCAAAGGATCGCCGCCTGTTTTATGCATATCGCAATGGAAAATGTATCAATCAGGTTGTGGGTAGCAATCAGTTTTATAAGGTACCCGAAGCAGTGGCTTCGGTTGAATTTGATGACACTAAAGAAACATGGCGGTTGGAAGTCATCAAAACTTTTTTAGTGCTTGTGAAAAAAATTGTTATACAAATTTTATGTACCCCCTTTAAGGGGCTGTATCTCAACAAGGGATGCACCAATGAAATTCCTTTATATGAAATATCCTATCTTTTTTTCGATGAGGAATCACCTTAAATGTTTTACACTTATTTAGTTACACCCTGTATATATACTCACTTTTTTCTCGAGGAAAAAAGTAATTTTATATAAAGTGACATTCTGTTACCCGTCATCAGAGATTAAATGTCAAACTTTTTTTCCGTCACAGAAAAAACTCGTTTTTGTTCTTAGTCTCGGGACTTTCCATTCCATGTGTCAGCATTCAAGTTCCAGCAACTACATCTCTATACCAAGCCAGCGTGTATAAAGCAGCCGTTGTAATCCATTAGGCATTGGAAATGATAGTGATGTAAATGAAGAAGTGTTACGAGATCAGCAGTATGTCACTAATAGATATGCTGAACGGTTGAAATAAAACAAGAATTAACAATTACATTCATTTATTTTAAGTGAAGTAATTATTAGGAGTACAATATTTCACTTATTATGGGCTATCTTCCACGATTACGATAATTATTTCAACAGAACTTGCAAAAGCGATAGCTGTGGAAATAATGACATCCATTGGTTTTCTATGATAGGGTTATTTTCTAGCGAGCTCGAAATCGAAAATAAGTCATCGAAGCGTCACTGGGTGGAAAGGTGTATCATACCATAGAAACAGTCATTTCTAATTGTTATGATTAACATGAAAATCAATCGACTATAAATGTGTCGTCTTGATAATTGCGTGAGTATTGTTGACATGAAACGAGATTTGCGTTCTTGTTTTTCACATGGTTGAGACATTGTTATCATTTAATTTTTATTCTCATTTCGATTGGGAACATCTACATTTATCTGCAGTTGCACAAATGTGGGACATATCTTGTAATGGTAAATAATAAAAATGAATCGAACAACATTATCTGAGGGAATTGACATCAAAGTCAACACTCTTCGATTGAATATGATACGATCATTTCACAGAAATAACTTGTTCTCCAAACAATAATTCGACGTTCGGAATCGTTACTCTCTATTCAAAAGATTACTGTGCATACCTTCATATAGTTCTGCTGGTGAGTAGTGGCTAGAAAATTTTTCGACAAATAAATAGAAACCTATTTAGATTCTTGCAGTTTACATAAAGTGCTAAAAAAAATTAGTATCGTGGAATATATTTTAGTTCCTGTGAGTTGGGCTAACTATCGGGCGCGTCCCCAGGTAGCGGATAGGGAAACGCCAGGGGACTGGAGGCCCTGTCCGGGAAGCCAATGTGGCCTTACGGACGGGGTCACCGGACTACGGTCAGTGGTAGAAATAACTAGGATGAGAGGAACTAAAACTCCCCAAAAGCCTTTGCGAAACATGCCACCGTGGACCAGCCTACTCAAGCTAATGTGTAAGGAATCGCGCCGACAGCTGAATGGCTGCAGGCGCTGCAGTTTTTTTTTCTAAGTCTTCAGGACTATCTGCATCAATGGCCAATGTAGTATGATCTGCATAGAGAACTACTGAAGTTGAACTGATATAGTCAGGTAGATCGTTTATGAATAAGAAAAAAATAAGCGGCACTAAGATCGATCCCTGGGGAACTCCCCGCTCCATCTCATAATATTCAGATGTATGCTCTCCGATTTTGACTGATATTTTCCTGAAGCGCATGTATGATATCAGCCATGACAAGAAATTTCCACGAAAACCAAGGGAATATAATTCACTTTCGATTATCTCCAGGTCAATAATGTCGAATGCCTTCGATAGATTGGAAGCTGTTGATGAAATACCCTGTAGCATATTTATTTGATATTGTGATATGGAAACAAGTAGTATCACTTATGACATCGTTCTTCTGACATATATTGATGTAAAGTTTTCTAAAGAACACTTTCTCTAGTGAAGTGGAACCTCAATGTGTACAGTTCATTTTCTAGTCATCATCAATAATTATGGGCATTTTTATTCTGAGCTTCCTGCAAATAGAGAGTTTTGTTTTCGTGGTGTGAACTCAATTTACTTCTCAATTCTTTCACCTACAATTGGAAGCTGTGATGTAGATATAAATGACATTCATAAAATTCAAAACAGGATTTCTTCAAGTTTTCTGAATATTCTCTTCTTCAGAATAACCTAAAGTGAAGGCGAAAGATTTATTCGCACACAATCGCGACAAAAGAAATGACCAGGAAAGGAATTTCTGGTAAAAACTTTATAATCTGCACTGACAGCAGACAAGCCCTATTAGCCTTGAACAGACAACGTGTTACCTCAGGGCTAGTACTAGAGTGCCACCAAGATTTAGCCAAAGCCTCGGTAAGAAACGGCTGTACCAAGAATTTTAGGACCCAGTGGCACTTACGGCCTGATGACTTCGACAATTGCGGAACTAGTCAAATGTTACATAATAATAATAATGACGATAATACGTGAAGTCGCGAAGTGGACTAGGGATTCGTGAAGTGGACGAAAAATGGTGCATTTTCATTGAAGTTTGGTTCCCAATTCGTTTGTTTCACGGTTATACCTACATCTACAAGAGGATGTGTACTTTTGAGTTTGGGGAATCTATATCAGTGATTCCCAAAGTGGCCCAGATGAACCCCCAGGGGTCCATGAGATACTCGACGGGGATCTACGCTGAGGTGACCAAAAAATGGGGGTCAACAATTCGAAAGCGAGGGTCCACGAAAATTCATCTGGTTTCGATAGTGAAGAAGTAAAATGTTGCCTTGCCTTCACCTATCAATGATAATAATAATAATAGTCATTTATTTCCTTAAGACAGTGACAAACCATATGGAAAAAGTCACTTGTTTACATTTGAAATACAATAATACTAATACTAATACTGAAAAATTTATTTCACCGCAAATTGCCACGACAAATATTCATCCAGTTTATAAAAACACTGTTCTGTCAAAAAGGATTTTAAATTATATTTGAATGATTGTTTTGTCATGCAGTTTCTCACATTTGAAGGAATAAGAGCATTGTATATTTTAGGAGCGATATGACAGGGAGATTGGTGAGTTATTTTGAATTTTCCGAATGGAATTGAAAAATCATTCTTTTGTCTTGTGTCGAAACTATGGTTTTGATTGTTCCTCACATAAATTTCATCATTATTGTCGAATACTAGCATACTCAACTCTGATATGACTAGACATGGTAATGTTAATATTTTCAGTCTCTTGAAGATATCTTTGCATGAATCAGTCTGTGAAAGCTCCGTCATTGATCGTAATATTCGTTTTTGTGCCACAAAGATATATTTTGCTAGGGTAGATAAACCCCAAAATATCACACCGTGTCATAGCCTACTTTCAACTTGTGCACAGTAGAGCTGTATCAATTGATCAACATTGAGTACATGCCGCAAATTTCTAGACTGAAAAGCAATCGAATTCAATTTTGAGATTAGGTAATGGTAATGTACCTAATGTAATAAGGTAATCGCAATGTTGAAGGATAATATATATTGAAAAGCTCAACGACTGTTACATGTGGAATCTTTCAAATTCCTAATTTAGTACAACGTGTCAAGGCTTTCAAAGCGCCGCCGCTGCCGCCATCCGCAACGGTTCAGACGTGGAAAGAGGGGGTCCACCGGAACCAGCAAAATTTTGAAAGATCTCTATGATATAAAGAAGTTTGGGAACCACTGGTCTATATGACAGAAGGGTACTGGACCCAGTCTGTAAAATCATCAGGGGCTTAGATATTCTTCTCTGCATGATCCACGACCACGAGAGAACAGAAATTGGACCATTCCTCTTTGGGGCAGCTGCTCGAGCGGCTGATGAACTCGGTTTAGTGTTCGACTCACGGGGTGATCACCACCGTAGAGATCACTTCACTCCTGTGGATATATCTCGAATTCTACTATTAACGCTGGAGTTCCCCAAGGATACATATTGTCTCCAACCCTTTTTTTATTGTATATCAACGACTTATAGGAACAAAACGAAGAATCCAGTTGTCTCGTCATTCCACTTGTATTCCAGTACATCGGCTGCGGATGCAGCAGGAGGTTACATATCTAAATGAGGATCTAGAAGTAATTTCTAATTGAGGGGAAAGTAACCAGATTCAATTCAATGCCGCAAAAACCCAGGCATAGGTTTTCTCCAAAAAAATAAATCTCTCCGAACCGGATATAATAATGTCAGGACAGTCAATTCCGCTTTCTGCTTCGATAAGTTTGTTGGGGGTTAAAATGGACATCAATATGTCTTGACACAATCATGTTGCTGGAATTACAAATGCAGTTCTCAAAAGCTGTGTTTCGAACCAGAAAATTATACACACCCCAGCAACTTTTGATGCTTCATAAAGCTCAGATCAGACCTTCGCAGTATTGTTCTCATGTATGGAGCTCCGCCTCAATGTAATCTCCAGCGATTCAAATTCAGTGTGAATCGCTACTTTCGCACAGGCACCGCTCTTAGACCGCCTTAAGAATTTTCCTGTAGTGCTAGTGTTTTGTCCTTGAAAGATATACAAAGACAAGCCAATGTAAGGAAATCTTCAATAACATTGAAGTCCTTGGCTTATCAAAGCACCTGACTTTGGCTCTCCTAATGAGCTGCTCAAAAGGAAGAATTGTGGTTCCTGTTCCCTACTGGTAAATTTGTAGTTGTCAACACTTGAAGAATTTATTCAAGCCAAAATTCTTTTCCCGATTGTAAAAGTTGTTAGTGGACAGTTATCATCTCTCTTTATCGTTAGCGCTAGATTTGCCGAGCTGTACTACTGACACCAAATTGTCAATGATAAACAATCATAATAATCCTACGGTAACCTTCTAGAAGCACTTGTTTCATAAAATTTCACGAATTTTTATATTTACTGAACGTTTTTATGCGTATGAAACTACTAAGTCATCGAACGTTATAACGGTAAATCTTTTCCGTTAGTAAATTATGAACAGAAGTTCCTACTATTGGCAACATGCACAATTTGCAGTACTATTATTATTCAAGGTAAGTGTGTTGGTTATTTATATTTTGATCGCAATACAACTTAGATCTCTGCATGTGTAATTTATTCATATAAATAGCAGACTCATTGCACAAATTACCTTTTACTCTTACTATTATCTAGAAACGTTTCCGAAATACTGTTCAAGTTTTTGTGTGATAGATGTCACCTATCTGAAAATAAATGAAATGATGAACTTCATATAGAGGGTGTTGAACACCAATACTGAAAAAGTTTGTTGATGTTTGTTGAAATTTGATTGTTATATTCATTAATTTTCTATTACTCCTTATGCATTCTTTTCGCAACAGATTTTATCAGCACAATCTAGTTATCAAAATTATTCGTGTTTTTGATTTGAAGCAAGATATTCTACCTTTTCCACACGATTGTACGATTATGATTTCTATTTTGTACTTATTGTTGATTCTTGTTCTTTAGAGAGATTCAAAACAGACTTCAAATTAAAATGATCATGATAATTTTGATTTCCAAATCTAGTTATCACTAGAACTTCGACCTAAATTATTGAAAAAGTGTGCTCATTCACTTTCGACCGTACTCTGTCATATTTTTAATATTTGTTTAGAGACAGGAATATTTCCAGGTCAAATGAAGCTGGCAATAGTGTTACTACTTTATAAAAAGGGAGAACAGAACGATATGGGTAATTAATTATAGGCCAATCAGTTTGTTGACAGCTTTTTCTATGTTATTCGAAGTGATCATATCTACTAGAATTATTAATTTCTTCAATTCCTATAATTTGTTCAATGATTTCCAACATGGTTTTCTCAAAGGAAAAAATACAGAAACAGCATTGTTTGATTTCATAGATGAAATTCATTCTTAACTAGAACAAGACTCTATGGCTTTTTCTGGACCTGAATAAAGCTTTTGACTGTGTGGACCATTCTGTTTTATTACAAAAGCTGTGTCATCATGGTATCAAGGGTAAAGCTTTAGATCTCATGATATCGTATCTAAGCAACAGAAAACAAAAAGTTTGCATTGAACATCAAACAGAAGTTTTTTACTCTGACATAGCTGAAATTCATAAAGATATTCCACAAGGAAGGGTGCTAGGTCCTTTGTTGTT